TACAGCAATGAGTTAAATAATACAACTTGAATGTGAAATGTCAGTTTTATTCTCAAGACAGTTAATACAAATTTTCATTCGCATAAATTATAATAGTAAGAATCTGAAATATATTTCGGCACTAAATAACACCCAAATTGTTAATAGGACGCAAAAAATCAATGAATCAATCAGAGTCCCAAGTCCTCCAATTGGTATGTTGTCCAGACTAAAATCTCTACATGCCTGAGGTATAGACTACACTGTTTTATTATATCGACATGATATAAAGCTATGAGACATAGTAATGAAACTTAATAAGATTGAACTTATATAATTAAATTCACACAGTAATTTGAAATAAATAAATATCTTTACCTTTCCTCAAAATAATAATTATACTTGACTATAAATAAATAGAATTTAAAGTTTATTGTAAACATACTAATGATAATGATTTTGTCAAATTCTGTTCCTACCACAATCTAAGAATAAAATCATTATAACTCATAGGGTTATTCCTTAGAGCACTTAGGATATATAACATTGTATAATTAAATCAGGATGAAAACAATACGGGAAATATTGAGATTCTTCACTAGACACCTTATTTCTTCTTCAACGCTAGGAAATTAGCTTATAAAATGAAAGTAGGTAAAAGACTGACCCATCACCATTCTTACTACTAAAGTTGAAAATATATTAGTCATCGCTAATATTATTATATTTACCACGACATCAAAAACAGTCGGAGATATAATTAATAAGAAAAATAAATTCAACACTAATTCAACACTTTATCAAATAAATCTTTTACAATGCAAAAATGTTTATATAGGGTGAGACATGCCTTGGTCTAAAAGCCCGTGTCTACGAAACCAAAAAGCGATTTGCATTTGGACATTCATTCAATCTCTCTCGTCATACACCGGAACAGAAGTAGCCATAAGATGATTTTAATAATGGCACAATAATTAAAAAAGAACATAATTCTTTGAAGAGAATATTCTTTAAAAGTTTAATAATAACATGATTACAAACTATAAACACACGTCTAAAAATTATATCGCCAAAATTATCGAATCTCTTCTCAAATCTAAAACAGTATAAAACTAATAAAAAATAAAATCAACAGTCATAGTGTCCTCTGGACAAATACAAAGCACACAATGATACACGACGGACCAATGAAAATGAAACAGCACAAAAGTGAAAATATCGGAATTCTATTACTAAATATGTACCAGCATACACGGAATTAAGACAGCACATTATCATCTGATGAGCATATATACGAATTATAGATTTTGAAAAGCTTACATACATATGGAAACATATACAGTTACGATACACGTGAAACATGACTAACCAATGAAAGATAAACAGAAAAGAGAAAATACTAGAATTTCTTTATTTTGAACCATTTCTCAGTCCATATCGAAGCTTAAATAAAAGTGAAACATGTTAGATTGTTAAACGTACTCTATTTCTTCTTCATCTTCATATATATATATATATATATATATATATATATATATATATATATATATATATATATATGTATGATCGAAATAAAAGTATAAAACTTAATATTAGTGGACATATTAAAAACGGGCGAAGCAACCGGTTTCGCTCCAGCTCTTCAGGCTTCAACTGGAGATTTAATTTAAAATTAAACATAGAAAAATGTACAATAAAAAGAATGGACTCGTCCCGAACACCTATGGTTCAGCCACATGCGAACACTTATTAAAGAACAGAGATTGTGCTGCCAAATTTAGTGCTGACTGGTTCAGTCTGAAGTCGGACGACCGGCTGATCGGTTGAACTCTCTGCCTTCGGGCGGGGAGGAAGCCAAACGAGTCTACGCCGAAGGGTGGAGTCTCTTTCGGGGAGGCAAACCGAACCTGAACCCGTTTATATGGTTCAAAGGGCATATTTTTGGCCGAGCCCACGGGCTCGGAGATCCAACGTTAATCCGGCCTTGTGCCACATGATACCCTCGTGGGGGTGGTGCCTAAATACTAGTGCTGACTGGTTCAGTCTGAAGTCGGACGACCGGCTGACCGGCTGATCGGTTGATCGGTTGAACTCTCCGCCTTCGGGCGGGAGGAACCCGAACGAGTCTACGCCGAAGGGCGGAGTCTCTTTCAGGGAGGTAAACCGACCCTGAATCCGTTTATACGGTTCACGGGGGCATAGCCCACGGGCCGAGAGATCCCACGGGCTCGGAGATCCCACGTTAAAACGTCCTTGTGCAACATAATGCCTTTGTGGGGGGTTGACTAAATACTAGTGCTGACTGGTTCACCGTATTGTCCCGGTCACCCTATTTAATTCATCTTAAGGTTTTGGAGGCACTTTACATCGGGTCCTGCAAGCCTTCTTTGTGTAAACAACGTCAGAGTTTGTTCGGGCTCGCTGTCATTTGTCTCTAGTTCCTTTTGCGATTTTTTTTTTTTTCTTTCTCTCACAATTTCCTTTTATTGTAAATTTTCTGTGTTTAATTTTAAATTAAATCTCCCGTTAAAGCCTGAAGAGTGGGATCAAAACCGGTTGCTTCGCCCGTTTTTAATATGTATTAAGTTTTACTTTTTATTTAACATTAAGTTTTACACTTTTATTTCGATCATTAAATATTTTATATATATAAATATATATATATATATATATATATATATATATATATATATATATATATATATAAAAATTTAACAATGCGACTTATCATCGGCAACAGGTAATAAGTAGGTAGGTACGTATAATGTTTATTTTAATAGCAATTCGAATTATATCTGTAAAAGTAGCAATTTTTTTTATTCCTTGAGAGAGTTGTTGCCTAATTGGTTATTGAAAATGACATCGTTATATTCTTGTTTGCAAATGACATGATTATATACGAGTTTCAAAATAGTGGATGGAACAAATGTTCGACTACGAAATTCCGTTGTAGAAGTGTTGAATATGTAAGCAATCGGCAAATTAACCATTTGTATTAATAATATATATATATATTGTTTTTTTTTCATATATTTATATATATATATATATATATATATATATATATATATATATATATATATATTGGCCCACGTCTCCTCAATGCGTCCGTATTTAGGCATCGTAAATCGTAAAGTTCGAAATGCCTCACGGGAAAATAAGAACCTTTCCTAATTCGTTTTATATATATATATATATATATATATATATATATACAAAAAAGAACTCAGAAGCGACCTCATGGTAGACCACACACATATATATATATATATATATATATATATATATATATATATATATATATATATATAGGGGAAATTACAAAATTTATCACTGTACGTAAGATTTAAGCGACACAATTCATATTATTTTTATGGTAGACGCAATCATCTGCCTTCATCATATATATATATATATATATATATATATATAGTTATTAAAAATATATATTGCGTCCCGTCCCTTTCTTGCTGTTGACTTTACTGTCTCTCTCTCTCTCTCTCTCTCTCTCTCTCTATATATATATATATATATATATATATATATATATATATATATATATATATATATATATATACTGCTTAATAAACACTATAGTCTTAATATTATTGGTGTAATCAAAGGGTTCCAATAAAAATTCAACGGCCGATATGAAAATATTTTAATTTATGAGATGCAGAATTATCATTTCCGCCATTAGAATATTTTTCCGAAAATCTGTTTTTGTTATGTAATGGTTTAACAGGTTTATTTAGATGCGAGAAACCTTCAGGTAACGACAGATAAAATTATTCCTACTCAAGTTATTTGTAGTTATTTCTGTTTAATCCAGCCTTTTCATGACGAAAAATAAACCGCATAAACACGATTAAAACCTTCAGACATCACTACAAAATACAAACTCTATGTTCCCATAATTGTTGGATATATATATAACACGCGAAAATCCCATGTCATACAAAATTTATCGAGCATTAAAATATTCATTGCAAAACTCTAACTTCTAAGATCCGGTTTGAACTTCGATATCAGGGTGAAACAGACAATATTATGGATGCAATAATTAAAACCAGACACATAATCATAAGTATTTCAACAAAGCTTTTAGACAAGGAATAAGTCCAGCCATATTGAAACTCAATGACTAAACAGGACCATAAATATAGAGAAAAGACTTGAACTAATTATCCCTAATAAGAATATCACAAGCATTGCTTTAGACAAAGAATTGAAAATGTTATTAGGGATATGTATAGGTACAATGAATAGAAAAAAAATAAGCCGTTTTCTAAATTATAAAAATGTTTAGAAAAGTTGATGAACCTAAAGTAATTTCTGAGACGCAAAAATCTTAACACATCAATTAGAAAATTAATTAGTGCCGCGGAAAAAACTTCCACCGAAATACATCAAATGCCACGCAATTTTATAGTCTAGACAAAATAAACTTTCATTCATTTATTTATTAGTGCATTTTCCACCGCTGTGATCACCATTCCGGCTATTTATTTTGTAATTATGGTTTATGTTCACATTCAATACAAAATAGTGCAATGTCATGCAGGTTCTTTTTGAAACAGGGAAGTTGAGGTTACTTCATCACTAATCTCAGAATTTCCTCCGGCCACTAATAAAGATATTGATATATGAGTCGCTGATCTCTGAGTCGTTAATATCAGAGCTGTTGTTCTCTGAGCCGCAGCTCCTATGTATAGGCTGGTGACAGACCAGTAGTCGCTTGGCACTGGTAGGTTGAGGAGAGGCGTACCCCTTCACCATTTCACCCTTCCAATTAGCCTCCCACAATCTAGTTTAGTTTGGTCATCGCCATGCCTGTTCGACTTCTTGGAGCCATTTATGAGAGTTTAGATAGGTAGGGACTGTCTAAGATAGATAAACAGATAATTAAAAAGGTAGCTAGATTGATTGATATGAACTATGATAGAGGGATAGATATGAAGAAAGAAAGAAATATGTGACCTAAGATAGATAGATAGACAAACAAATTCTTAGATATTAACTTAGATTGATATGAAAAAAGGATAGATAGATAGGTATGAACTAAGATAGATAGATAGATAGATAGATATATTCATAGATATGAACTGACTAAGATAATAGATATGAAAAAAAGATAGCTAGATTGATTGATAGTAGAGTTTGGCATCCCAATTCACATAAGTAAAGCAGGGTCGACAGCTTCGTTGAAAAATTAATAGAACTGACGATACACCCATAAACACACATTTTACACTAGATGTTGGGTAAAAAGTTTGACACCAAATCCACCACTTTTCATCGATATTACTTTAAACAACAATAATCAAACCAAACAATAAATGAAAAAATCATAATAAAACGTATAAAATTGTTAACCAATATGTGGGAATATTTTTTTCATTATTGAATTTTTGAAAAAAATATTGGAATGACAAATTATAGAAGAAATTGACTGTTTTGAACCAATAGTAAAAAGTAACGCTACTACTTGAAACGCTTTAGTTACAAATTAGAAAATACGTCCTCTTCCATAAAAATGTTATGTTACAATCAATAAATGATAAAAGAATATATTGTTAAAAATATCTGAATGATAAATGATAGGGAAAACATCGACGATACTGAACCAATAGTCAACACAAACATTAGGAATCAAAATGATTTCCCTACAATGTCAAAAAATGTTCTCTGTCATAAAAAAGAGATATCTTACGCTTAAATATAAAAATGTTCTAATATTCATGCCAGTGTATTGTTAATTTAAAAAATATAATTTATTAAATGCTATAAATTATATATACCCCTCCTTATCTTTCATTAATTAAAGATTTCGAATGCACAATAATAAAAATAATAATATAAAATATAATATAATAAACAAAGAAAAATATAAGAATAAATGGACGATCAAAATAATAAAGGCTTTCCTTTTAAAATTCGTCATAAATTTTTGAGCAATACAAAATAGGCCTGTCCACTTAGACATCTTTGATTTGCAGTGTTGATTAGTGAAAACTATAGAAAAAATTTATCCTCAGGTCCTGGGATAATAAGTCTTTCGTATATTAAAAAACCTAGCCACATTGACAAATTTAAAAATACTAAGTTATTAAAGAAAATATTTTTTCTTTTTTAAAACACTTTAATGTGTTTAGTTTCGATATTAAATATCTAAATAATTCAATGCAAACGCTAAACTTCTAGTGAAGATATTAAATTCTGTTACGTACAAAATAAAAAAAAATGACAGAAAAGCGAAGGGGTATTGCCATAGTGACATATCTCTTCTAAACGCTAAACAAAGTATTAAGAAACAAGGAAGTTCCGTTACAATAACAAATAAAAGTGTTACATTACTACGTAATATCAGTCTTCCTCTATGGCAGTAAATTCTTACCAATTTCCTCGCAGGTAAAGAAGAGGGGTAAGATTTAATTGTAAAGAAGGATAAAAAGAATACAAAGGGCAGAGAATTTTAGCAACGAGAGAAGATTAAATAAAATTAGAAACAATAGTGAAACATATGCTTAGAATCAGAAATAGAAATTAAAGATATCTGGGATCTATAATGTGGAACCATAGCTGGGAGAATTTGGTACTCAGAGGATATATTAACGGTATTAGGTGTAAAGACATCCAGCAAGTAATCTAACAAACGACGTTGTGCAAATGGATAGCAGAACATGCACACGAAGGGATCAGTCAGTTATATCCTATATGTGACACACGCTTAGGCGATCATGTATCTTTCGATACATAACTGACGAGGCAGATTTTTTCCAGCAGTAGGATACCATTTCTTGCCATCCAAGGCAACCCGGTCTGTACTTTGCAGTTCTCATTTTGGCTTATCCTTTTGCTAACAACCATGCATTCTGTCTACTTGCATTTGAATTTAATATCTTGTACTCTCTTTACTTCATTACCTTCTGTAGGAGATGTTGTAACTTCCTGTTTGTGTCAGTTATCAGCACTCTCTTATGCATAGCTTATGTTGTTAAGATGGTTACCACCAACAATAAATCCTGACAGGACTTCTAGTTCTCTCAGAATCGCCTCGCTGTATAGGCTGAATATGTCCGATGAGAATACACGTCCTTTTCTTACACCACTATCTATTTTTGTATATCACAGTCAGTCAGTTATGTGCCATACGTGATACACGTTTAGGCGATCATGTATTTTTCCATACATGACTGACGAGGCAGATTTTTTTTCCAGCAGTAGGTTTTCTTTCTGGGGAGACCAGTTGCTATCCATGCCTATAGAACCCTAGTATATAGTATATCCTACTACTTACCCATAGCTAGGGAGAGAAGAAGAGTATCCACACCTTTCCCAAGGGTATTAGCACGTAAGTGAATGTAATGGATACGACTGGAATTCGAACCGCTCCGATTCCTCAATCCATTACTCCAATTGCAATTCTAATTTTGGCTTATTGTTTTGCTAACAACCAAGCATTGTATTTACTTACTGTCGATTTTAATCTTTTGTTCTCCCTGTATTTCATTTTATGTAACTTCCTGTCTTATGTTGTTGTGGCACCATGGATAATTAGAAAGCTGAAAAGAAATATTCATAAATATATGATTTGTTTTTTACGGTTTGTCAACCATTTGATAATTATTTAGGGCTGAAAAATATTTCCGGGGGTTAGGAATAATTCTTTCTTTACATTCAAGCGATCTGGGAGAAAGAAAGAGAAGACAGAAGAAAAGTAAAAAATAAATAATACGAAAAACAGGTCATAAGCGAGCACACGCTCGATTGACACATAACAGATGTCGGAAGATATCCAGGTCAAGCACCTGACCTACTTCCGTGTCCACGAAAAATTAAAGTTTGTTATCAGATGGTTGAAGAAACGAAGTTTAGAGACTTATGAAAATTATGATAGGTAACAGGTGGGAAGTGTATCTAAGGATATGAAGACAAACCATTAATACGAAAACACAGACAATTTCCAGAATTGAAAAAAAAGTCACACAAGATGATGTTGGCTGAAAATGTTTTTTTGAGATAATGAAGATTTTTGTTATCAAGCTTCGAGGGAAAGAAAAATTGAAATATTTTTATTCGTTCACGAAAACGCCACCCAGTCTGAGAAATCCCTTTCTTAGGTCGTATCCAATTAGCGATAAACTGCTTGACAAATACCACGTGTTAAAAAGCCGAAGGTGTCATCGCAGTCGCTTATGATAGGGTCAATTTAAATTTTTATTTTTTTAAGCAAGGTGTTTCTTCCACTAGAACAAAGCCACGGATTGTCCACGCCCGACTAAGGACGTCATTGGCTAGATGGGACCACATGACACACGAAGGAGGAGAAAGATACCCGACCAGGACCTCATTGGCCGAGAGCGTCACGTGACGCACGAGGAGAATCGGTCGACGCTCTTGTCAGAAGTTTAAGTGTGAGGGGTCGATACGAAGAAGCGGGGAAGCGGGTATACGCCCTCAGAGACACAATAAGGTAGTGGGAGTGAAAGTGAGTTACCGAAAATGGAAAATCCCTAACCAGAAATAAGATGGGTGGATACGTATTTAGAATTATCAAAAGAGAATCCCCGACGCCAAACAGACCTACCCCAGTTTTGATGGCGTCAATAAAAGCGGGACCCCAACCGACAGAAATCAGAGTTGCGCCGCGGACGGCGAGGGAGTTTGAGAGCGGACGGCGAGAGAGTTTGAGTTGGAGTTTGAGCCGTGAACGACAAACAGAGATGAGCGCCCAGTGTTGAAACCGCGTCAAGATAGCTAACCAAGATTCACGCACACTTCTGGACTCTTCTTCAACCAAGAACAAGTAGTTTGAAGAGCGACTTAAAATCAGACCACAGAAATAAGTTTTTTTTTTTTACTTTCGTCCAAAGACACACCGAAACACAAATTTCTTAGAGAGCAGACAACTGGAAGCCTTAAAGTTGCCTAGTAAAAGCGTCGTGCCACAATCCACAGAACGGGTCGGGAAGTAGACATAGTTCTATGTACCGAGCAAATAAACATAAAAGTTTGTTACCTTTTTCTTGATACGTTGGACCTTGTGAGTTTTTATTTTATTTCTTTTTTTTTATTATACATAATTGTGTGTTATCACCCCCGTTAGACTCAACTTGCATTACGGCCCCAAGCCCTGTTTGATCTCGTCTGTCTAAGATCAAGTCACAACGTGGGTAGGCAGACCGGAGATCAGTGCAGTTATCCTGGTAACCACGCGTTGGAAGCGGGTTGAGAACGACGAGGCTGGTATCAATCTAACCAAAGGGTTAGAACGTCACGTTTGGAGCTGCGAGGAGCGAACAGCTGACGCCGCGACAAAAGACGTCACAACTGGTGCTGTCCGTGACCAGGATATCAGAGCCTGGGGAGCACGTGACGTCACAATTGGCGCCGCGACCGGGATCGAACGACACAGTCGACGCTGCGACCGGGGGACGACGTCACATTGTTAATATTGCTACCACCAACAATGAATCCTGACAGGACTCCAAATTCTCTCAGAAACGCCTCGCTGAATCAGTTGAATATGTCCGATGAGAAGATACGTCCTTTTCTTACACCACTATCTATTTTTGCATAACACAGTTACGTACCATACGTAATACACGCATAGACGATCATGTACCTTTCGATACATGCCTGACGAGACAGATTTTTCCCGCAGTAGGTTGACATTTTTTTCTGCGGTAGACCAGTTGCCATCCAAGGCTACAGAACCCAGTATGCCCTGCTACTTACCCATAGCTGGAGAAGAAGAGGATTCATACTTTTCCCAAGGGTATTAGCACGTTAGTGAACATAATGGATTCGACTGGAATTCGAACTCCAGCCGCTAATCATTTCTCCACTGTGTCTCGAAGGGATAGTAACGATATAAATATTACTTAGAGATACTAACGATATGAAGTTGTGGAGATCTGTGTTCCCCCAGATCCTTAGGACATGTAACTCATAAAATAAAACCAGTTGGCATATATTTAAAGCTCATGTATGAAAAGTGTTGTGAAATCAAAATGCTACAACCTCCCAACCGATAAATGAAATTCTATGTGCTGTCTCCTTTTCAGGTTTTGGGTGATCATGGCCCTTCACAACTTGCAACTTGT